CTATCATTGAATTATATTCATGGATCATTAACACTATATGCTATGAGTAGTGTCTGTAGTATCAGTACTACATTTAGTAATGTCCTAAGCCCCTAACCCAGGCCATCTCTTCCTGTTCATGTCGTGAGGTACTTGGACTATCAATGAAGCATGTTACATGCAAATTTATTATTACTAGTTTGCAGTGCATGAAAGACAGTAAACCCATTGAAATTAAACTATAGTTCATACACCTGGTATCCATGAGATCTAATTTACCTTCAGGCTATAGACTAATGATATACAATACAGTGAAGGGAATACTATCAGACAGTCACTGGAGAGCAGTCTCCTTCTACTCTTCTAGCAAGAGAGAGATCACAACACAGTATACAAGGGCTAAAGAGAACAGCACAAACTTGAACTGTAACCACAAGAGGAAACAGTTTGTACAAGAACCACTTCCTGTATAGTCAGGTGCATGTTGCTAAGAAAATAATTACATTTAGAGCTGATTACAGAAAGAGTGGTGAATGATGTGAAGAGTGTTTTAGAGCAGTACAGATGTACTACATGAACCAGTGTATAAAGGATGGGTGTATCAGTGTATGTGTGTGGTATATAGGACCTCATAATAACACTGAATTAATAATAATCAATAATAATACACTAAAGAGATACTAATAATAGAGTAGTTATTATTACAATTTATTGTGGATGAGGTAGTCGTGCATGTACATCATAATAGCCAGAGGTTGTCCCAGTATAATGGATACCCAGACCACCACATTACCAGGCTGACCTCTCATCACTTCTAATGACGTTAATAGAGCTAATGGTACCTGAGGGGCGGGGCATTAGTGGGTGGAGTTAGTAGGTGTGGCTTACTTGAGATAACATAGCAGTGAATGCCCAGGGCCTTAACATACGCAAAGGAATACTAACCAAATACTGAGAGGAAGAGAGAGAGGGAGAGGGTTTAATGTGTGTATGTATTAGGAAGTATATAAAAATGATGAATCCTCTCCTAGTCATTTTTCATGACATACCCTACACTATAGAGTACAGTGTCTTTGGTATAGAAGCACTTGATAATACTAATAGACTATTGTGGAATGATCCACTGTACTATTATATCAAGCCAGGATTATTATCACAGTAGATAATCATAATACTACAGACACTGGGTATCTCCCTAAACTGATACCATTATACCATACCATATATGGTAATAGACT